AAAGACAATAACGTCTGCAGCATGTGTTGACTGCACAATAACACGGAAAGCAGTTCTAAGCTCCAGCATTATAATGGATAATTCTTTTTTTTCTACATCATTATTACATTAACCTCCATCAGATTTTTAAAACTGGTCCTGGATAATCCGGCAATATATGATTCCTCTTCTTCATGTAAACAGCTTTTGCAATGCATCACCACTTTTGCAAGAATACAAGGCATAGTACGGCATCACATATACAGCAAGTTTTTTTTTTTCTTTACACTGCTTACTGTAATAAGAAAGAGCACCTAAACCCACTTCATACACTTTTTACATTTCCTGAGTTATTTTTTCATACATGAATAATCAATAATAATCAATGATAAGATGAAATCAAGTATACTGAAGTAATAAGTACGATGAATACAGCATATACTGCTCTTGCATAATGCTAGGAAGTTGGATTGTTGTTCTTCTACATCAGTATCACAAAATACATTGTGCAGAAAAAAAAATTATATTGTTGACAATATCTCTCTGTAGCTCCAGAATTCCTGTGTCTTGACGGGCCAAAGGGCTCTATAGAACTCACCTGCAATGGGAGGGCCCACCATAGAGGCTGATCCACGGAAGAGGATGAGGAGGCCAAAGGCATTGGTGAGCTGCGACAGACCAAGGAGCTCTACCAGGATGATGGATGAGAGGGAGATGTAGGCAGCTGCAACAAAGCCCCTTGATGGTTAATACCAATTTCCCATCGGAGGTGGGCCTCAGATAAAGAAAAAAAAAAAAAAAATACAACTACGAGATTTCTACTCCTGCCAACAATGCCGTTACTGCTGCTGTTACTCTCACACATCAAGCAGAGCACACCTGAAAATTTAGCTTTTGGGTCACGGACATCCCTGCAATACCATGTCTGGATCCTTATAAGAGGTTATATGTGAAGTCCACTAACAAGCCAAGTCAGCATGAACTGTTTCACTGCCTTGTGAGTGTGTGGTTTAATCTGTGTACATTTGCTGACAAGGATATCCGTGAATTTGCCTTTTTCTCTAGCGAAGAAAGCTTTGCCTTTTGCTTAATACCTTTCGTGATGCTTTTAATAAGTGTGTGATATGAAGATGGAAATGGTTTTTCTATTGAAAGAAGCATGATGAAGCAAGATTTATTCACAAATGAATGAAATTAAATTCAGCATTCTGGTTTCTGTTTGTGATCCTTTGTCTTACAGTCAGCATTAGCAGTCTAAAGTCTGGGAATCTGTCTTTTGTCTGGGATGATAGGAGAGCTATTGTACATTACCATCACTTCAAATCTGCGTTTCAGACTTTTTAATCATAATTTCTTTTTCATGATGTTAGATTTAGAACAACTAGAAAAGCTACTGCTTGGATTTGTAAATGTATTAAATTTTGGTGGTACCAAGATATTACACTACGGTGTGCTGAGAAAAAAATATACTGAATCTATAATTTAAGTCTATTCCTTTCTTAGATTCTGTCCTGTATTAAGGCTTGCTGCTGTCTTAGTTGCTATACACTATATGTGCAAATTAACTATAAGTGTGATGTAAAATATCCATGGTAATGTAAAACATCAGAAACAATTAAGTGCTCACGTGGAACATTCCTGTGATAAGTCACCAAATTTTGCTGTCTTCCATGCACATAGATGAAATATGTACATGGTAAATAACTTTCAGTCGGACATAGTTTTTAGCAAGCTATTAGTGAATAATCTTATTACTTACCACATTAAACTATAAACTTTGCCTGACTAAACCAATTGTCTTTCTTCTGATTTTCATGGCAAAATATTAAAAAAAGAAAGAGTGCATCACACAGTTCATGCTTCGATTGGTGCATTATGAAGTTTTGGTAATTTTATGAAGGAAATAAGTCAGTAAAGAGTGTGTGGTTGGTCATCACATTCTCTAATTGTCATTAGTTGCATACCAGAGAATGGGAAGAGGATATTAGGGTAAATGGACATGAGAGCTGCATTGTACCTTCACCATCACTAAACCACCACTAAACCAGTACTGTCACCCACTACCACACCACCTCTGCAACCAAAACCACCATAAAAGAAATAAGAGTATCCTGTAAGCACACTGGATCTTGCAAGACCCAGCTTGGTGGAGGAGAGGGAGGTGGATAGCTATGCTACCTGATACTGGAGGACCCAAGATCCCAGCCACTCCTCGGAAGATACAGAGAAGACCAAAGGCATTGGTAAGCTGCCTGAGGCCCAGCAGGTCCACTATGATGATGGAAGTGAGGGCGATGAACGGAGCTGGAGGAGTATCATATACACAAAGGTCAGATAGGTATTACATGAAGAACTCTCTATCTCAACGAGGATTTTTTTTTTTTCTGACACTGCAACAGGTTCTGTTTTAATCATGTAAGGAAATGTATTTTAATTATGTTTCAGCAAAATGAAATTTAAATGATATCTATATCTAAGGTTGTGTACCCAAAACAAATACATAGGCTATACATTCACACACACACAGACAGACAGACAGACAGACACACACACACACACACACACACACAGACACACACACACACACACACACATACACATGCACATGCACACACACATGCACACACACACACACACACACACACACACACACACACACACACACACACACACACACACACACATACACACACAAACACACACACACAAACATGCACACAAATACAAATACAGACACAAACACAAAAACATACCATCACACACATAATCACACATACACAAACACAAAAACACACCATCACACACACAATCTCAGACACACACACACACACACACACACACACACACACACACACACACACACACACACACACACACACACACACACACATTATAAATAAAACAATAACTGGAAAAACAAGAAAAAAACACAAATATGCCAAATATACACTTTTGCTTCTTCAGGGCATGACTGATGAAGCAATATATCATAATTGGAATAACAATGTGCATTCCTCTTCTTCCTTCTGTTTTATTTATAATCTGTTCAACATGAATCCTACATGACTTATGCATATACAGAACCTGTGCCCCTTGTTTGTGTATGTTATTTCTATATACATATATGTGCATGTGTATATGATAAAAAACTGTGTCTTATTACATATATATATATATAAGTCTATACAATATACATTGATCTCTTCACTGAACTATTATTTTATGATCAGGGATGTTAGTTGTTAGTTTCATTCTTAAGTTAAATCTGCATTCAACTCTGATAACAATGTCTTTTTTGCTTGAAAAAATGAAACCCATGACAAATACTTTGTTGGTCATCACATTCTCTAATTGTCATTAGTTGCATACCAGAGAATGGGAAGAGGATATTAGGGTAAATGGACATGAGAGCTGCATTGTACCTTCACCATCACTAAACCACCACTAAACCAGTACTGTCACCCACTACCACACCACCTCTGCAACCAAAACCACCATAAAAGAAATAAGAATATCCTGTAAGCACGCTGGATCTTGCAAGACCCAGCTTGGTGGAGGAGAGGGAGGTGGATAGCTATGCTACCTGATACTGGAGGACCCAAGATCCCAGCCACTCCTCGGAAGATACAGAGAAGACCAAAGGCATTGGTAAGCTGCCTGAGGCCCAGCAGGTCCACTATGATGATGGAAGTGAGGGCGATGAACGGAGCTGGAGGAGTATCATATACACAAAGGTCAGATAGGTATTACATGAAGAACTCTCTATCTCACGAGGATTTTTTTTTTTTCTGACACTGCAACAGGTTCTGTTTTAATCATGTAAGGAAATCACACACACACACACACACACACATTATAAATAAAACAATAACTGGAAAAACAAGAAAAAACACAAATATGCCAAATATACACTTTTGCTTCTTCAGGGCATGACTGATGAAGCAATATATCATAATTGGAATAACAATGTGCATTCCTCTTCTTCCTTCTGTTTTATTTATAATCTGTTCAACATGAATCCTACATGAGTTATGCATATACAGAACCTGTGCCCCTTGTTTGTGTATGTTATTTCTATATACATATATGTGCATGTGTATATGATAAAAAACTGTGTCTTATTACATATATATATATATAAGTCTATACAATATACATTGATCTCTTCTCTGAACTATTATTTTATGATCAGGATGTTAGTTGTTAGTTTCATTATTAAGTTAAATCTGCATTCAACTCTGATAACAATGTCTTTTTGCTTGAAAAAATGAAACCCATGTCAAATACTTTATATATTCTGTTTTCATCCTGAGGCAGCATCATTTCGCGAGAAAAAAATATCAATTCAATAAAGAAAAGAAAACATCTCTTTCCTTGTTTGTACATGCACCTGACCACATACTCTATCATGAAACATACAACAACTAACTGGTTTTCAGCCTTCCTCTGCTAACCCTTCTACTTTTTGTTTAAATCTGGCTGTCTTCCATTATATTACCTAACTTTTCTTAACGACTGTGCTATGTGGAAGCTGTTTCCTTCAGCACCTTTTATTGTAATTACTTTATTTTAAAAGAAAAGTAAGAATTGAATATCTTTAAAATAATAATTTCCATTAATACAGAGCATAAAGATACCTTTATACATTAATAAACATTTCATTTGAATGAGAGGACAATCTTTTTATCATTGCTAATCTGTCAAATTACATAATTCCCCTTTAGCTCATCACTAACAGAATATGAGAAAAATAAAGAATGAAAAGGAGAAGAAAACAAAAGAATAATTGGATTAAATAGTGCTTATCTATCTTTTTAAAGGTGGCTTAGAATATGGTATGTAGGGTGTTATGTTTCCAGCTTACTTCCCACAATCTGCCCTGAATTAAATATATGAAATCTGATATCATTTATTTATTATTTATTCAGTTATTGTTTAAAAGACTGTTAGATTAGTAATATATCTTAGTCAAGTATCAGTTTTAATCTTACAAATTCTGCATACTATTGAAATTGGAAGAC